GCTCCAGGCGTTTCAGAGCAGCTATACAGTTCTACCTAAGCTACAGTCTTTCAGCACAACTTCATGGTCCAGCACACTTCCACTGAGGAACTTTGGTTTGGCAGGAGATTGAGCAGACCCAGATTAGCGCTGGGCTTGTTTATGCAATCCATCGTCCGTGTACTGCGTATAGGTGGCGGATGATTGATTAGCGCAAACTAAGTCCTTTGCACGGCGAGTGACTGGGCTGCTGTGCTTTCAGCTGTGTATTGTTGATCCAGTGATGGTTATCGTGCCACATTAAAATGAGCCGTGACATTAAGATATGGAACGGTCTCACTGATAATAGCTAACGATTTGGCAACAAAAATGCTTGTGAGTTAGTCCAATTTAAACAGGGGATATTACTGTCATTAACCAGGTAAGCAAACAATGGTGTGTTTTCTGTAAGCCGGTGTAGATCTACACCAATGTACACTGGGATAATCTGCTATATTCCATTACAGTATCTGGAATAATGACATGCAAATATGCCTGTTGCATATCACCAACTCAAAGCCTGTTTGATTCATGCTCAATAAAAACTCTATTTTTCTGTTAGCATGAATGATATATACAGTAACGGGTGAGGATCATTCAGTGTTAGCATTAGCACAAACATTTAAATTTACGTTAAGTTCAGCATAAAGCTCGAAACATCAGCTTTGTCAATCAGCAGGGAGACATTCACATTTCTGCACTGATTTAGGGTGGAAAATCAGCTGACTTCTGCAGAAGTAATTAAAACAGTAAAACTGTTTGAGCTGAGAATACTACATTCTATTAATAGCTGAACATATAATCAAATTAGCCAAAATATGAAATAAACAAAACCGCGAGTGCTTGCAGATTTTCTGAATGACGCCATTCCAATTTTTTGGAACTTTCTGTGGATTTCTGTGCGTGAGAGTCAACTAATAACCAATCCCTGGTCAGATAATTAACTCAACCATAGAGCCAGTTCAAACAGAACCTGACAATTTTATAAACTTACATTTTGACAACTAGTGTGCAACGGCTAAAGTAGTAAGTGATGAATGTTTTGATGACTTTGGAGAGGTTGGAAAACAAACATCCTGCTTCATTCACGAGTGCTAACAGCCAATCGAAAGGAAGACAGATTTTTGGCGCCCTGGAGTGTCTGGCCAATGGAGAAGTATGTACAGACGAGTGTTACTGGCGGATGTAAGCGCATTGTTCCTCGTTTCGTGACAAAAGCTCTAATCATCATAAGTTCAGCCGGTCACAGTTCAGTCAGCTCAGTGGTGGTCACAGCATGTATGTGTCCGTTAATGTTGGGAAAACTATGCTCACGTAAATGTGTTCTTTCTTTCACCAGCTTCCATGCATGACTGTTTTAAGCGGAAGTTCGTTACAGTGTTGGGAGGCTACTTTGAAACAATAGCTTGTGACTAGATATTCATAAATGAAAGCAGTTCAACTACAGTGAGAAAGAAAGAGTCTTTGTGTGTGGATTTATGCTATTTTCCAGAGTGTAAGTACGTGTTTCGCTTTGACAGTAAAGATGTGCCCTGAGGGTCGAACTGAATATTCAAGGATGAAGATGAATAAGAAAGAAAGAAAGAAAGAAAGAGAGGGTGCTTGAGAGCTGTCGCTAACATCCTCTTCACAATGAAGCTATTGTGGGATCTCCGTCAAGAGCACAAAAACCCATCGGCCTTAATCATTTTAAAAGAACACATATATTTGGTTCAGTAGAGAAGAAAGGGAAGTCCTTTCAACTTTCACACTGCCATACAGAACAAACAAGCATACTACATTCAAATGTCTAAATCAACGAAGCAGCAAATACACTGTTGTATTGATATATAGATTGATATACATTACAAGTCATGACTACATTACTGGGAACAATGGGAATCTCAGTTAGGGTAAAAAACTTGACTTGTGTTTAACTTGAAACACAAAATTTGTACTAAATGAGTAATTTAATAAAAACTCTAGCAGTATAGTATACTAAAAATGTCACTACAAAAAAATTGTACAAAGATTCAGTGAATAATTTTTCAAACAGTGAATCAGATGAATCTAAACTAAATCAAACGTAAAAGAAAAATGCTGCGGCATCGTTTGGTAAGGCAGACAACGTATTAGCATTATCAAATTTTTAAGAGTCATGTCTACATCACTACTACTTTCTGAGAGCTCTGTAAGGCTGATGGGGATGCTCACAGTGCTGTAGGCTTAACGGGGAAATAGATATAAATGTGTTTTTTGGGGCAGCTGGAGTAATGAGGAATGACAGAGACATAATTCCTGTGTGTAACCTCAGTAAACACTGGCAGCGGTGGTGTGGGGAGGGCAGCCACGGCTGACAGGGTTGAGCCCTGTCCACTTCCCCCTGCTTAAATGGAATTTACGTTGGGTTAGCACCAATGAGAAAAATCTAATTTGCAACTTTATGCCATTGGCTGAAATCTAATTATACGTTTTCAAGAGTTTTCTCTTACATTCCAATCTGTTAGGGTAGGAGCCTTGTGTTACGGTAAATTGGGAGTCTTGGATTCGCTCCATATCACTTGCATGTAAAGAAATTCCCAGCTCCCAATGAAATCTCCCAATTTCATCGATGGTCAGCCAGGCAAGAGTGGGAAAACCGAGGACTGGAGGAAGTGGATGGATGGAATGAAACATGGAGAAGTAGTTAGTGACTGATAAAGAAGAAGAAGAGTCAGATATGTCCCCTGACGCTACAAGGCTCTTCTGAAGAAGTGCCTGTGCGTGAGGAGCTGCTAAGTGTCGAACCATCTGCTTTGGACTCTTCAAAGAAGCTCCCGGGCTAAACCTGCCTTCTTAAATGGGCGTCCCACAGCTACAAAGCAAGCTGGTCAGGTATTACATACGCAGATGCACTGGCTCATCCACAACTTAACAACACAATCCCACACTGCTTTACAACTCATCAGATAATTCGCCCATCAGCCAAAAAGTCTTGATGGCAAACTTTATTTTGCGAAAAGCCTAAGAATAGTGTTATGGCACTTACATACTAGAGCAGGGGTTTTCAAACCAGAGTCTGGGGAGTTCATGAATAAATAAATAAAAATACTCGTAATAATGATCATTTACCCAAATATCACAGTAATATATATAATATACTGTATAACATGAATTTCCAAAAATGTATTAAGTAGTGCAGCTGTTTTCAATATTGATAATAAGAAATGATTCTTGAGCAGAAAATCAGCTTCTTAATGACAGTGAGTAATGACAGATGCATTCACAGGAATAAATTATATTTTAAAAAACGTAAAAATAAACATAAATCATTTTAAAATGTAATAATATTTCAGAATATTAACGTTTACTGTATTTTTGATCATATAAAAGCAACCTCAAACATTCAACTTAACTTTTGGTCACATTGCCTTCACAAATCCTCAGTTTTTTTCTTGAGATGTGTACCATGTCTATTAAAATCAACAAATTCATACCATTCTTTTACACCCTGTCAAATTTAGTCGAGATATAAACACACTGTTGCACATGAATCTTGCTTTTCACAGAACAACAGTCGCCATCTAGACACAACCCAGACACGACCCATGACAACAAATGAAGAGGGTACTTTGGATGACTATAGGGTAATTACCAATATTCGGCCGTTACCCTCAGCACTTACTGCCACATTAGGCGGTACCTTCAACAAAGACACAAATGGGAATGGCTTGATCTTTTAATGTCTGGCACTGATTCTTAACTGCAGCCGGACGTCTGGGCGAAAAAGACACAGACTGACATAACCAATGGCTAGTGCTCATCAGAGGCTCCAGCACCCTGTCCCCCACCACCATGCTGCTTATTTAGAGCCTCTCGCCACAATCCATTTTTCGTCCGTAGTCTGGCTTTCCTGCTTCAGGAGATGCTTAACGTTACGTTCAACCGCCAGCCCGTGGGGCCAAAAGTTGAGAGTAATGTGATCAGTAATGAATTTTGTGTTACATTAGGCTGTATAAATGGACGGACAAGCGCAGACTACAAGTGTCCGGGAGTCGGGCTTAATCTAATGATGCAAAAATAGAGACAGAACCAATTATGGAGAAGGCCAACTCGGTGCTGCTGCAGGGACTGCAAATGAATAGGTACAAATCAAATTAGTGCCTAATAGACGCGCTACGAGAGAGGGCCAGTCGATGCTAAATGCATTAGGGCCTTGTGACCTCGCAGCTCCAAGCAGCGGCGTCCAGGATCCAACCTCCATCTTCCCCAGATATCAAAGAAAGTCTTGTTCAGACAGGGGGGGGAGGACCGGAGAGCAGCAGCTTCCTAAATGAGTTAAACATTTGGATTGTCAAGAGTGGCAATTTCCCCCCTCATTTCGCTCTGTCTCTCCCTCAATGTGAATGACCTAATTTGTTATTGTAAAACCTCTGAAATGTGTCTTTTCCAAGATCTGTACAAGAAATCACGCAAATACGCCAGGACGTATTCTTATCTCAGCGTAATTCAAACAGGATTGAGGATCAGTGACTGATTCACATAGTCACTGGAGGTATTAGCAAGAGCAAATCGAACAAAATAGGGTTTACCACATCAACTTCGAGGGAGTTAGTTTGCCTTTGAACTTAATGGGCTACTAATGACAAGAACAAACTTGGCTGATGAAAAGGAAAACTAATACCCGAGTTATCATTACATATTCAAAGTTCTTCTTTCAAATACATCATTCCATCTTTCCCTCCATCTTTCATCATTCAAAATATCTTATTTTGTGTTCCACAGAAGAGTGAGTCATACAGGTTTTGGACTTAAGGCTGAATAAATTATGACAGAATGAAAAATTTTGCATGAAATATTACATTCATTGCCTATACTGGAAAACAAAAAACTGGTGTAAAAATAAACTAAATTAAACAGGAAAATTTTAAAGACTAATACTATTAATACTATAAAAAATATTCCTCCCCAGTGTATATGTCTTGCATTAGTGCACCCCTTATCATTAGTGAGAGTGTGCTCACCTGTCCCAGAGCCTACAATGTCTCTGCTGGGCGACTCAGACATTGCATCTGCCAGCCTCTCCTTCAGGCCCTCTTCCGTTGCTTCCACGGAGGACATGTGACGCAGTCCGAAACTCTCAGGCCAGCTGCCACACACCTCCAGCAGGGTGACACTGCGGTCAAACATGCCTGCCATAGAAAAACGAAAGAGAACAACAGTTCAACATTTTGATTCACACTGCATTAAAGCTCATTACAAGTTCATTTCATCACTGCAAACTGCATTTTTCCTCTCCTTTATTGTATGACACCTATGATGATTTTAGTAAATTGTTAAGAATAACATCGTGCTGGCTTGAAAACAATACTGTAAGTATGAAGTCATAATACATAATGAACCTGAAAAGTGTCTATGGCCACACCGGTGTAACTCGGAGGTCATAAACGGCTATCTGTGTTTCATCTGGCACACATAGCAGCTCAAGCCCCAGCCGAGCCCCTCTGCCTTCCTCTGACAGGGATAGTGAAGAGGAAATGACTGACCCCTGAAAAACACCACTGTGGGCCAATATGACTTCAAACAAAAACACTGGGCTCATTTTTTTTTTTCCAGCAATAAGCACCTAGGCCAATAAAATAGATATTGCATAAGGGGCCCCATAAGGGGTGGGGGGGGGTGTGAAGGAGCACAGTTCGTCTGTCTCCCATGATGCTGCATTTCAGACAGTGGCATTACAAGGGTGTCTTTCTATAACAGATACCTGCTGCATGAAATACAGCTGCTTTATCTGAACGGCCTGTAGGGAGACCCTTTGATCTGCAGGCCAACGGTTATCTGGCCTTGTCTGGCCTCCCCTGCAAACCCTCAGCCACACTCGAGGCCACTGACAAGCGCTAATGTGCGGCGAAGAGAGGAGCGCAGGCGGCCGGTGGCGCAGAGCTGATATGGAGGCAAGAGGCCTGCAGTTATCTGCTGTAAAACACCAGCCCGGCCAGACTCACAGACAGCAGATAACTTCATACCACTTCATAAAAAGCTGTTTGTCCCGTGTCTGCCATTGACTCCTCAAAGCACTGAAATCGCCAGAGTCAACAGGCCTGCCATCAAAGCAACTTCCTGCAGGATGAGTGGGAGTGGCCAACGCACACACTGCTACAACCAACAGCTCTGAATGTCTCCAAGATAATACATACTATGTGTGTGTGTGTTTGTATGTGTACTGTTACACAATTTATTGTGTCCTTCCTTAACTTTGATGCATCAGCTTACTGGTCAGCAACCTGTCAGGGTATTTGACCTGTTGAAAGTCTCATAATGCACTTTTAAACGAGTTTTGGAGGCTGGAAAGCACACCTCTGTGAGCGTTATTTTAGAGCAGTCCAACAGCTGAAGGGGAACGGCACAGAGGATGTGGGGTTAGAAGTTCATTCTCACCAATAGGGAAGATCTCTTCATCAGGATGGCTGACAGCCGCCACAGCCCACATTCCACATTATTCACACCCGTCAGAGCTCAGCCTCACCAATTCAATAATAAAAATCCTGCCACAGGTTCTGGGTAAGACAAAAAGCCTGAGCAGACCCACGTAGTTCTTCTCGCTTACACTTCTTCACTTGGAAATCCTGTCTGAACCACTGAGGTATGAGGGCATGATGTTAACATTTAACAGGAAGGAGGAAAAAACAACATGTTTTTATCATCATAAAACCTATGTTGGTTAGCGGTCTCCTAGATGTTGGCGACTGCAGGACTACTTATCTATTTTTTGAGATTTGCTTCATTTAGTACAAAGAACATTCACTTGACAGCCTTGAGTTACAGCATGTTTACTGAAGCATGCAGGGAACACATTATCCTGTTTCTGGGCTACAAGGGGCACCAGAGAAGCGTAAACACCTAAAGGAACAGCAAAGGTGGGGCTAATTCAATTAGGTTTTATTAAGGGGCCATAAGTGAAATTGAGCTAACAAGCAATTATCCCTAGGAAAGTGTGTTAGACTTGTGTAATGTTGGTCACTTGTATCGAAAAACAAACAAACTTCTGATGGAAAATGGGCAGTGTGTAAATCACGGGTTGTCTTTTGTCCAAGGCGGCATCTGCTCAGATTGCCTCTGCCGAGAAGACCTCCACCTTTTTTGGCCTTTTGCCACTTTTATTTATAAGAGGGTAGAGAGAGGACAGGAAATGATAGCGAGAGAGAGGTGGATCAGAAACAGGAAGTGCCCACATGATCTACATACTTTATGTTTTGGAGCATGTGTGCTAACCACAATCAGACAATTAAAAACACTCTTGGTTTTTCTTAGCTGACTTTTACTGAAGATACAATAAAATGTTTAATAGTATATATGTAATTGGTATTACTGTTACTACTAAAACTCAATTAACACAATTTTGGTGATGACTCACAAGTAACATAAAAGTAAAAGGCGACTTTTAACATAAAATAATAATAATAATAAAGGATATTTCCCCCCAAAATTAAAATTCGGTCATAATTTACTCACCCTCATGTTCTTCCAAACCTTATTGAAAACAAAAGAAAATATTTTGAAGAATGTTGGTAACCAGTTAACAGTAGCCATTGACTTCAATAGTTTTTTTTCCTACTATGAAAGTCAATGGCTACTGCCAACTGTCTTAAACACTCAGGTTTGGAACAACATGAAGGTGAGAAATGATGACAAAATGTTTGGGTGAACTATCAACTACTAACAACTACTAAAATCGATTACCAAAATTTTGGTAGGAAAATAGCATGGCCAGACTGCAGCCAAGGCCTGTGGACTGTGGTTAGTCAAGTAAACTGTATTATCAGCTGATTATGGCCTTGCTCGAGTGAGTGTCCTCCTCGAAGAGATCAAGCCATCCAACTCTCCTGATAAGAGTGACACCGGGCACTCGTGCCGGCTTTATTACCATGCCCTCCAGCTCCTCTGTGTGTACCCTGCTTTCCCTGGCTCAAAATCAGAGACCACTTTAAAGTGCCACCGGTATACAGACGCACACAATATCAACAGCTCCTAAAAGCCAGACTGACAGTGCTGCAGACAAGCGAACCACAGCTAGACCGATACAGACCCAAAAGCTGCCAGAAGTGTTTAGCAGCGACGTGTGAGTGTTAATGTAGATGTAAGCTCTGAGGATTAGCAGTCAGATAGATGGCCATAAGGAAGTTTTTCCCGCACCTCCAAGGCCCCCTTCCTCATTACATTACACTGGCTTTTAAATCATTTACTCCCTCGCTCTCTCTTTTCACTCTCGCTCTTTAGCTGTGAGAGTGTGAGTAATCCCATCAATACTCTCGGCGGGCTTTTACGCTCTCTTTCACACAATGGATTCCGGCTCACTCAAGCCACGGCACTCTCCACCCCGCTCAAAAGCCAGGTCGGCAAACTTAGGCAAACAGAACGGCGTCTGACAATTAGCCTTAAACCTTTAATAGCGAAGAGAGCAACGCGTCGTGTGTGGCACCGGCTGCAGCTCCTTAAATTGTCAGTGTGAAAGTGTATTCAGAGACATTGTGTCTCCTATTCATAAAAACAGATGTATTCATTCCATGGGTGTGAAACGGCTCTTCCTGCAGGAGGGGGATAAAAACCAGGGTTAAATCCGTGATAATCCCACTAAGAGTTATGATGACCTGTTGTCTTCACAAAAGGGCTGTGAAATGATCATAGCGCTGGATCAGAATGCACCCATTGAGCCCATCTGGATTAGAAAAACCTGCCTGGGCTCCTAAACACCTTTAATAGATTAAGAGAAGCCTATGTCTTTATGTATTCATACGCTCTGCCCTTTGTATTCTCTTCCTTTAATTATATATGGCTTCAAAACACCTATTCATTCAGATGAGAGATGGGATAGAGAATGTGCAGAAACAGGAAGCCAAAAACTCAACTAGTACATCTGGCATTAACATGCATTTTTGGTGACAAGATTGTGAAGTGGATCAAAAATATGATGTTTTCAACATTGATGATCACAATAAATGTTTCCTAAGCAGAAAATCAGCATATTAGACTGATTTCTGAAGACTGGAGTAATGATGCTCAAAGTGAATGCATTCTTCTCTATCTGATTACACTTGAAATGTGTTGTAGTGAATTTAAATCAATTTGAATAAAAATATATCTGGCTGAAATGCATCGTAATGCCATGCGTAAAGGAGACCTGAGATACAACACTAGAAATCAAATATTCTGAAGTATATATCATAAAGTATATATAACATGAATATGTCACTACTGCGTTTGGATATACATGTGTTTAAACCAGAGTCAGATTACAAAACCATACAGCAGCTTTCACAAGCCCACATATGATACTGAGTACACAGGTGCTGTGTGTGTCTTGCTAATGTAGAAAGGATCCATTGCATTGATGATTAAAGCAATAGGGGTAATGTTGTGATTGGTAAGGGTATCGTCAGCATCAAACCCACTGGTTTATATAGAGTCTGCTTCACCTTTTAGTGATTCCTGACAGAAGTGGGGCTGCTGAACTTGTCCCATCCACCTCCATTTCCAAGTTCAAGCCACTTCTCATTAGTTGCTCTCAGAAGCCCTCAGAACCCCATAACTCAACATCAAACGTCAGCATTAGTGAACGGCACAGCCGCTCCAGCCTCTGCGGTTCTCGCTTGCTGTCCGGGAAATAAACGAGGGCAGAAACGTATGCGACCTCGCTTGGGACAACACTGCTGTGTGTTTCTCTTTCCTCATTCCTTTGCTTGAATTGGGGGCCGCGGGACCGCGTTAATAATGAAGAGCGCCGGAGCCCCAGCAATGATTAAAGGCGAATGATACGCTTGACGCAGAGCAGACCCTGCAGGGTGTGACAAACCGGTTCGCTTTCTGACAGCTTGGGCGAGAGAGCGCAATCCCATGGCCCTGTTTGGCAGGGTTCACACACATAAGCACGCAAACATCCAAGCGTTGATCGGTCGAGTCTTTCACCACTCACGCCGGAGTGAGGCACATTAGCGTAATATATGCTTCTCGGTTAAACAGCAATCACATAATAGGTGTGTCCCGATGCTTTTCTAATAAACGAAACGGATGGAGTCCGTGTAAACAGAACGTGGCCTAATGATGGAGAGCGAACGAGCGAGAAGCCGTTTTCCACGAGCCAAAGTGGCAGGGACGCCTAATTGATATGGAAGAGTATTGTATTACGCTGTAACTT